AGTTGGAGACCCAGAAAGCATAAAGATGGAAGACTAACAAAATCCAATTGAGATTCGACTAGGATTCATTTGTCCCAAGAGAAGATACTGCTAGAAAAAAATCAAAGTATTCAGAGGATGCCCAATAACAGCGGCCACTTAAAAATTTTAACCGATGTTAGCTCAACGAATCCATATTAGAGCCAATTCATCAAGAAGCTCACATAAGGATAAAGTAATCTAAATTCGAGGGAAAAAATACATTATGGGTGTAGCCGCCATCCCACCACCATTGCTCTATACGCTTCTTATCTTCATCATCAAGTAAAGGAGTCTGAGTTCAAGTTAAACAAGGAAGGTTTCTGGACAAAATTATGAAGGAAACCCCCAATACCACATCTTTTGTCCACAAGCCTTTACCACTTAAGTTAGTACTATAAATAGAGGCTTAGGCTGGAGTTTTAGAGCAAGCTTTATAAGTTTCACATGTCTGAGAGTAGTCTTGCACACTCAAGTAGAAAGGATTCACACGACTTCTTTCAAAGTTAGGGCTTTTACTCACGGAAAGGTTCCCCATATTTTAATTCTTTTAGCATCCATTGGAGAGACGACATTCTGCCAGAGTTCAATGGAGATGCCTTCATCATCAATGGTGACATTATCCCTCTCTTTTATGGTTAGTAAAATTATTAATATTTAGGATGTGAATTCTATGAAGTTTCATGCTTCACTTTTGATGTTTTAATGATATGTGTATGATGTTGTTATCTTTTATTATGTGTTATCTTTGTTTTGCACTTAATACCATTATAAGTTGCTAGGAACTTGCACTTGTGTGGTATGCTATTTACTTATGCATGCATGATTTGATTGGACTCAATTATTCATCTATGTATATGCTTGATTGTTGATGTAGCCATGTAGGTTTGTCGAGAATTCATCCTAGAAATAGGCCATCAAAACCAAGGACCAGTTTTATGCGTACAGGCCTTAATTAGAAAAGTGTTGTCTATGATCCCTTGTTCTTCATTGATTGGTTAGTGGCTTGAAGCAAAAACGCACATTAGCTAGTCTTAATTCCTTTTGCATGTAGCAAAAGCTTGATTAGGAATACATTAGTGGAGTAGATGGGGCATCATTCATGAATGCATTATCATTAAGGAGTTAGTATGCATGTTCATGTAGATGAAGATACTTAAATAGTTTCTCATATTCATTTAATTTTTGTTTTATTGAATTGCTTTGATTATTTATTTAGTTTCTTTACTTGAAGTACAAAAACTCGGCCATCATTAGGGAACCTCAACCACTGTGTTTACTTGTTGTTACATCTTCATTCGAGCACAAGTGATTAGTAGAAAAGTAGTTGCTATTTAAAGACTCATGAAATACGACCCTAGACAAAATCTAGGATATATTACTTTGTGAGAATAGTACATTTCAATCCACATCAAAGTTTTTGGCATCATTCCCGGAGATTTTTAATAATATTTGAAAGTAACCAACCATCTTGTGTTTCTTTTATTATCGTTCATGTATTATGTTTTTTATATTTTTTATAAGCTCTTTCCAAATTAGAAAATAAAGCAAAAAGCAAACGATCATAAATCAATTCATCGAAGAATGAGACAATTTTAGTACGCCTTTGTTGATATTAAAATAAAGAGCATCTAGCTCAAGTGAAGAGTCGAGGATACTTCAACAAGGGAGAAGGGAATTGAAAAAGTTTACAACTTTGATCTAGAAGATGAAGGATCCACTTCATTATCTTGCTCAACATCTATGGTGGAAGGAGACAATAGAATATTTTTCCCCACCAACTCTCTATGAAGATTCAAAGCCAATAGCTTCGAATATCACCAAGTAGTGTTGCACCCCTAGCAAATGTTGAAATTCAAACATTACTTACGAAATGGTACATGTACAACAAGGTGTAAGATTCACTGGAAAGAATGATGATAGTCTTGTGCAACATTTGAATATATTATTATAGATCATTGATTTGGTTCCTGGAAACAAAGCCACTCGAAATGCAATTAGACTAAGAGTCTTTCCTTTCTCACTAACTGGGAAAGCAAAACAATAGTTTGGTCACAAGGTTTCATAGAAGAATTATTTCCACCATGGAAAACAGAAGAACTTAAAGAAAACTTCTCCCAATTTTAATAGAGAGATGGAGACTCATTCTATGATGTGTGGGGAAGATTTCAAGGACATTTGAAGGCAATGCCCTCAACATGGATTCACAGCAGAACAAATAGTCTAGTATTTCACCAAAGTATTGGATAGAGATACTACAATGCTGGTAAATCAATATGTTGCTGGTGATTTCACTCAAATTACTAGAATCCAATGGCAAGAGCATTTCATCAATCTAGGAAGGAAATCAGAGAACTAGTCCAAGAAGTTCATCACTAAACTAGTTAAATCTACCCGAGCAAGTGATGACGTTGAATCCATCCTTCACGAGCCAATGAAAGAGATTTCTTAGCAACCTAAAAAATGTTGCAATGATGCCAGGGAATAAACCAGTGACATCCTTGTATGTTTGTGATACTTGTGGACAAGAAGTTCATGATAGTAAAAATTTCTGGAACCTTGGAGGTTAAGAACATGTTCATGTCAATTTCATCACTCAAAGGTTACTAAAATTGGTAACCACAAGGAGGTTCCAATAAATTATTGAAGCTACAATCAAAATCAACCACAAGTGTCATATGGTCAATGGACAAACCTTGGAAGAAAGAAGCCAAAATACTACCCCAAATATTACATCTTTTAGAGCCCTTTATATTCATGACCAACAATGAAGCAAAATCCCAGTCCTCCTAGATTCGGGAACCAACCACAATATAAGCAGCAAAGAGAAAGCCCTTCCAATTCAATGTGTACTAGATTCGAGAAAATAGAAGCCATAGCTTATGGATATGGATTGCAAACTAGATTCTAAAATATAGAACGTCAAATATTGATTGATGTACAACCTTAAAATCCTCTGGGGAATCTTCTCAGTAATATCTGGAACAATCAAAAAAAGGAGTTTAAGGAAATTTTTACAATATCAATATCAGGGCATCCCAAATGTGCCTAGACAAGGAGCAAAAATATGAGCAAATTCCGAAAAGGATGGCCTCCTTTAAAGAAGACACTTAGTACCATCCTCTATTTCTGAATATTTTAGCAACTCTTCAACACTCAAACAACCCAAAACCTCAAAGGTAGATTGGTGTCTAAATTGACTCCCATTCAGCAATTTATTCACGTTACGACAATTTCTAGAATATTTGGGAATCTCGTCTTTGACTGATGTTCTCCCAAAATCATGTCCCCATGAGTGGTTAGTTCGTTAGTTGTGTAGCTTTGTGAACCCTAGAGGCTCTTTAAAATTTGTAACCATTGATTCTTGGTTGTGTATGAGTACTTGAGTTCTTCTTTTATGTTTTTGATTTCTTATTTTAATTTATTTTCAATTTGATTGTGGCTTAAAATGAAACTACTATCTCATAAGATATAGCCTTCAAATCCAACTATGTGATGGATGTGATTGGACACCACCATCCTTCATAATCTATCATCAATTGGTTGAATAGTGTAACACCTCAAGTGAGGAATCTGTATGGTCCCTATAGCCTACTAGGTTGGGGAAATGCCACGATACAATGTAGGAATAACCTACTAGAATCGAACAGCTCGTATGTTACGTTGCTAGTATTAATCGCATCAAGTCTAAGTAAATTCTAAGGTGACCTTGTCTATGCAACACCTTTCCTCTTCTGCTTTCCCCTTCCAAAGTCGGCTTAGATTTTCCTTTTTTTTTTTTTTTGTCAAAATCAAGGGGAACCTCAATCCAGAAAGCACTTCAACCACCGCATTCGTCTGAAAGTCCAAAGAACAAGTCACTTACAATCCGAGTAAGTGATCGTGGGAGATCCTAAGTGAATATGATTCTGGTTATCGACTTGGTAAATTTGTGTTTATTCTACTACGAATCATGAACCTTAACATAAGTCGTAGAACAATGTGATTTCCGAATCTGCCAATCCAAGAACATTGATCTTGAAACATACGCTTTGAAATATTAATATTCAAGTAAAACGCCATAATGTAGGCACTCAAACAGCAAACAACACATACGCACCACTACGATTAATTGGAGGGTACTAGTTGTGAGAGATCAATGCGGTTGTTGGATGAAAAAGCGAAAAGTGAAGAGAGGAGAGAGGATAGAGTTTTCCCCTTAATGTTTAATTTTCATCATTAATTTTTTTAGTTGGCGGAAACTTGCTTATGAAAAATTTTCTTTAAGAGACAAGATAATTTACATGGACTTTTAATATAAAGATCACCGTAAACTATGAAATTTTCAAGAAGTACTATAAAAAATAATTACAAATATACATCGAAAAAAAATAATAAAAGCATCAAAAAATTAAAAGGAGAGAAAATAAATAAATAACCGCAGTAAAAATCTATAAATAAATGGCCCACCATTTGCAGGAAAATCTTTTCAAAGGAGATACATTCCAAAAAGAAAATGGTCATAAATCAATCTCCGAGTAATGTGGATTCTGTTTCTCGTGCCTCTCAAATCTAACACAACTTTTTTTCCGCCCCTCCATTACCTTGTTAGCCAACGCCTATTGACTTGAAAATCTATCTATCCTGCATGATTACAATTAAGAGAGACAACTTCGGCTCGATAATCTTAAGCAACAACACCGCCATGGTGATGCATACATGAATCGCTTAAACCTACTTCGTAACGAGGATAGAACTTTCATGGTGATATTTATAGAATTTCTGACAACATTCTTCAGCTAAACTATCTCTCCAATAGGACTTGGCTTTCCCAAATTGTAAAGGTTCGCATTTTAATCTTGTTGTTCTTGAATTTGATGTTCAATTTATTTTGTAAGAATTTTATAGGCAGTGATAATCTTATATTTTGAGTTTCCCAGGGACCAACGAGGATTGAACTGCAATTTTAATGCCTCTTTCTAAGTTCTTGTTGGGGCATCTTCAACTTATAAAATTATATTTTAACGATCTTCTCCGCGATTTAATTTTCAGGAGCCACCACCTTCTAGAGCTTCAAAGACAACTTGGCCGAATCTTGAAGTCTAGTGTATTTTATTTATGAACATATTCTCAAGGGTTTGACACAAATCTAGGGAGTACATACATGGAGATTTCCAGGGATAATGAGTCGATCACAAATAGCGAAGTAGAAGAAATTGATAGAGAATCCACTAATAATGAAATCCAACAGAATGAAAACCTTGTCCCTCGAGTGCGTCTCCCTGGCCTAGTCCGAAAGAAAGCCTACATATTTGATGGTTACGGGAATTACTACAACAAAGAATGGGATCTAGCAGAAGGTATAGGCCAGGAGTTCTGTTGGTACCATATTGAGCTCCCAAGAAGCAACCAGAAACTAACTTCATCTGCACAATGGCTCATCGACCTTCTCTGCCCTCCCTTGAAACTTCAAGACATCTTATCACTAGTGAGCAACGGACCCTTCTGTGGATATGTAGATGGAGCACTGGTGTTTAGAGTTAATTCTCCCGGTCCCCCTTCGAGCAACTTTACATTCCGATTGGCTGCTAGAGTTACCGAAAATTCGGTTATTACTGTATCATTAGGTCACATTCCTAGGGTAGGATTCTCACCGACGAGCCAATCTCTGCTTTCGGAGATTCCTAGTGTGGAATCTCCTTACCGTAGAGGGAGGAACAGGACAGCTGCTGGACCTGTGATTAAAGAACATGTTCTTGAGTTCCTCTTGACGATGAATCACTCGGAGGAGGCTGATAATCCAGTTCCAAAAACAATCTCAAATCTTGTGGTTCATATTCTTGACACTCATGTGGACCACCTTCAAGATACTGTGACAAAATTAGAGATGGAGTTAGAATCTGTGGAGCTTGACTTGGATAAAGGTAAGGAAATTTTTATATGATAGGTAGGCAAACATACATATTAAAGTGTCTTATTTAATAAATAGGTAGGTATGATATGTTTTTTAAGATAGTATCTTCTGTTTATCTTAACAACTTCGTTTTACATATTGTACTTTCGCTAAGGGAATTAATCTCAAATCATCTTTAAATGTAATCGAGGTTATTTTCATGATCTTTTCAGGCAGTTTTGCTTTGAAGAAACAAATGCTAGATGATAGAAGGTTCCCAAAAATGCACCTTAATCTCCAACGGTTGCTTCAGGTGTGTTATTTGTTGGTTTCTTCCTATATATATTCTTCTAATGGAAAGAGTAGAACTTGAACGATACCCATGGTGGTCCCTAGGGAAAGAGTAGAATTTTTCTCTCTTATTTTATGGATTTCTATTTTGTGTCTTATTGATTATGAGATTTTATTGAAATAATAATTCGTTGATAAGTTTTAATTTTTATGAAATAGTATGATTATTTCACATATGGTATTATTTTGTGAAAATGTATAGTATATTGCTGGATGAGATTTTGTTAAAAAATTATTTAAATATTTTGAATTTTAATTTAAGAGTTCTTTGTTTAGCTTATAGTTTTCAAATTATAATTTGGTATAAAAAATTAATTTTTACCATAATTTGATATTGAATGTGAATTTTTTCATACATATTCAATATTAAAATTAGATGAAATGAGGAACTTTTTAGAATGTTGTTTTCCATTTTAATAATTGTTTTTATGATATTTGATGGTCAATGACCAATAAATTTTAGGTATGTGTATGACATGAAATGTAATACGAACTATTATTTTTGAAACTATCCAAGTAATTTCCTAGATATAAACAAATTATGTAGTTACTTATCATTAATAGTATTATTACGGGGGAAAATTCATCATATTCCAACTTGAATTCCTAACTTCGCCCCTAACGATACCTAATCATAAGTTCTATTTAACCTACATGGTTGTAGGTGATTGCACATGGGGAACAGGTACTTCCCCGAGTGAAAGAGAAGTGCTCTTTGAGAGGGTGGTTTGCTTCTGAAGACATTAATGCCTTGGAAGAATATATTGGGAGCCTGAGGAGGCTGAAAGAGAATGTAGGGTTCATAGCAAATCGAGTAACTGCAATTCAAGCAGGTCTTGATAGTTGGCAAGCTGAGCAAATCAATAAGAAACTTTACTATATCTCTTTCCTTTCCATTGTATTCCTTCCATTATCAATTATCACTGGAGGTTAGCTTGCACATACTTCCTCAATTATCATCCTTCCTTACACTATTATAATGGCTTATATATGTTGTTAACTATTTCATTCTTATCCATCTGATACATATACACAGTCTTCGGCATGAATGTGGGAGGCGTTCCATGGACGGGGCAAGATGATCCAGCACTTAAAGATGGCTTCCAGAACGTCATTCTTATATGCCTTATGATGTTGTTTCTCGTCTTGCTATGCTTCCTTTTGCCATGGGCTTACACTTCTTTGGCTTCTTGGAGGCGCAGAGTGGCCATGAGAAGGAGCTGGTCAATAAATAGAAAATCATTTCTCAGGAGAACCATCGGAATGAATCACAGAGGAGGTTATCTACGTCTATAATTTTCGTTTAGTATCAACCAAGTAACGGGAGGTTACCTAGCTATGCATGTATGTTAACCATTTAGGAAATCTCTAGGTAGTGTGTGCCACAAACATGCATTGTTTGTTGCTAACATTAAATTTTCATTTCAATCCTAGAGGATATCCCACATATATACTCCCAATGGCTTGAACTAAGCTAACACTATAGTGTTGGTATTGGCAGTGGGCCTCCTATTTGACACAAAAACTTTACACCATGACCTTTTGATATTAATGAAAGTTGGTTTTGGTGTCGAAAGACTCGTCATCATAATGATGGTTGTAAATAATAATAACATATTTTAGTTATCATGCAATGATACTATTTTTATACTTTTTACTCATTAATGTGGGCATTTATAACAAATGTGTAATTAGTAAGATAGAGTGCTTAAATGGAATCATTAAGAACTTGCTTTAACTCCTTACAGTTGTTAGATTAGTGGGTAAAATGGTTGGGATACCATCAAAATTTGAAAAATGGAGAAGGTATACCAATTAAATAAAAATTGTTCACCAAATATCGTGTGTTTCGGCCAACGACCTTATTTTTCAACCGCCATATTCTTCCTTGATGTATTCTTTTTAATTATGTCCTTGTTAAATTATTAATGGAACAAATTGATGGCACCACTCATTCTGTGAAACATGTGATGAGTTATCGTCTTTTGCAAATTATTGGGACTTCATCATTGAGGACGTCCTATTTACTTACTGATAAAAAATTATGTCCAAATTAAAAATATATATATATTGAAATATTCATCTTAATTAATGCTTATTACCTATGTAAAATAATGACCAAATTATCAAAATAAAGTTACGAAATCAACTCTTAATTAATTTTCCAAAAACAATACCAAATACCCTCTTTTCCCTCCCACCCATTGTGGCCAAACCCTCCCCCCCCCCCCCCCCCTCCTTCCTCTTTTCACACCCTCTTTTCCCTTCCACCATTGTGGATGGTGTTATGGAAATTATTTACATATACTAATTCTTGCAACACAAGTAACAAACAATATCCTGAAATCAACACAAGACATGTATAAGATCATGGAATCATGCAAACACATAAGCATCATCCTAGCGGGCATAATACAATGTATTCCTTATGAAATCTTATTCCCCTCTAGTACCCAAGGTTACGAAATGATTCCTCCCACGATAGAAAGGAACCATCAAATGCAATGAAACAGCAAGAAGTCACATGCCTCTATTTTTTTTACCAACGGTTACTTCAAGATCTTCTTTTGGATCTTTCCCCTTTCATTCTCATTCACACCATTCAAAAATCCCAACAATTCCCCACATGAATGGAAAATGTTGTACTTTAAAAACTATGCAAGAAATTGTGTGATTCTCGACTAAGAATTAGTTGCATGGGGATAGGTAGGTTTCCCTTTGAACCTTTCTTAGAGAACATATATCGAGTATACTCACCAATCAGTAGATGGATATCTTTGAACCGTTAGTTTTTCTTGTATTCTAAGACAACATATGTCACACAACTAACTCTTATCTGTTCACTGGTTCTCATAGTTGTACTTGGCCTATTTTAGGGTAATTATCATAAATGGTAATAAACCTATCCACTTTGTACAAAACGGTAACAATTCTTTAATTTTGCACGTTTTGGAAAAATAAGTTTGAGTGAATAACGAATTGGTCAATCCGTCTACTTCCGTCCAAAACTCCGTTATCCTTTACCCAGTCACTATGACATGTCATTGAAAATATTAATAAAAAATTAGTTCATCACCCAATTGACCCGCACAACCCAACCGGCTGTATCATAATACCGACCCCTTCTCGAATTGGAGAAAGTCAGCGACTTGCGGGAGAGAGGGGCGATCGGACCAGAAGATAACGATGGCAACTTCTACCTTAATCTTTCTGCCGCCTCTTTCGCGCCGCCCACCAAGTTCCTCGTCGCTCCCTCCCTGATTCCGACCGGAGGGCACTTCAACCGGAAGAATCTGCTGGTCACGAGCATGACCGTCGCGGGGCGATGATCGGCTTCGTTCTGCTTGTAGCCATAGAAATCTTCTGTTTAGTTCTTCGAATTTGGAGACCGAGGCGGCAGCGCAGGAATCTGAGCTTCAGTTGGCGGCGGCGGGATCCGTCGACTGTTTTGCTACACAGGACGATTTCATCGCGGAAGATCATGGCCCTGTGATTGATCAGCCGATTTGGTACATCCACACCGTGGGGTTGGATTGGAACACTCGAAAATCGAATCAATCACGGTGTTCCAATACAAACTGCTCTGTTTGCCTAAGCGTGTTTGAAGAAGGCGAAAGCTTGAGGTTGTTGCCCGTGTGTAGCCACGCTTTCCACATCCCTTGCATCGATACTTGGCTTAGATCTCACAAAAATTGCCCACTCTGCCGCGCCCCGATCGTTGCCGCCGATGCGAATTCCAGAGTTGTTGCTGTTCAAGCTGTTGTTGTAGGGTCATCGATGAATCTCAATTCCGGGGAAAATTCTACAGTAGAGAATTTGGAACCTACAACTCTAATGACTGCACCGGAGGAGGAGCGAGAGGGTGAAGTGAGTCTTGGTAGTGGTGAGTGGTAACAATAGTAGCAATGAACCGGACCTTTCAGATCATTCAAAGAGATTGATGGTATTATTAAGGAGCAGTCTTTCGTGGGTTCCAAGCGATGTGTTCGAACGAGGGAGAGAAGGGGCAGGGGATTTGCAGGGGTTGAGGCGGTCGTTGTCGCTAGATTCGTCATCAGCAATGGTGATTTACAGGGCGGTGGAGAATATCGAAGTAGAAGATGAAGGAAAAGGAAAGACTTTGAGTCCGGCCGGTTGGGTTGTGTGGTGTTAATTAGGATGATTAACTTATTTTTTTATTAATATTTTTAATGACATGTCATGCTGACTGGGCAAAAGATAATGGAGTTTTGGACGGAAGTGGACGGATTGACCAATTTGTTATTCACTCAAACTTGTTTTACCAAAACGTGCAAAATTAAAGGATTGTTACCGTTTTGTACAAAGTGAATAGGTTTATGACCATTTATGATAATTACCCCTATTTTATGTTAGGTTGTGCTCTTTTGTCACATTGCATGTCTTGGTCGTTGAATAAAGGATTGACAATAGAACTTTTTGCATCGGTGTCTTGGTACAAGCAACGGCAGTCGAAGAACTAGCAAAAAGTTTATAATTTTGGACAGATTGATTTGTTCGAGTACCGCGCTTGCCATTGATTGGACAAATATACTTACCGGGCTTGCATGCGGATGAAGTACCCACTCGTAGCTCCTCCAAGAAATGATTACTTACTGCACAATCAATTCCCATAATCCCATTTCCAGCTGTGACTGTCTGTCTACCTTCTCCAATCACTTAGTTGATTATCTATATATATCATAGCTAGGGAATAAAGGTTTGCAAGCGTCGGCCGACCCGAAGAGACAGGCGAAGAACTGCTCTATATTCTCTGATCACTCCATGCAACAAGTAGTTAGTAGAGAAAGAAGAATGTGTTTCCTCAAGTTTCTATTGCAGTACTGCTTTCCCGCTTTTGCCAACCGCAGCAGCTCTAATCTGTACGCACCATTCTCTCTCCCCCTCCATCCAAAGCTAGCTAGCTCCACGGCTCTCTTGCTCTGAACCGATTACTCAATCTCAATATTTCTCTGTATCTGTATTTGTAGGAACGGAGAGAGCTGGGGACGTCCTGATGATGATACATAATTATGATGAATTATGGGGTGTTATTTGAACTTTGAAGGGATAGCGGCTTAGTACTAATTATAATTTGCTGTTGAAGCTCATCTAAACTAGTTTAAGTACATGTTTTGTTATTGTGAATTAATTAGTGGTACATTTGTCTATCTAGATATGTATGTATGGGGTTGGTCTGGAAATATCTGTGTTATCATCTTCTATGTGTATTTTTTCTATCAGTTTCCCTATCTGACATAGAGGCATTTTAGTATGCTATATAGTACCCATGCTTTAATATACTTAGAGCCATTAGATCTTGTTATAAAATATCAGCCATTGGATTGAAATTATTTAATTATTATTATTTTCACTTGTGGACTGGTAACCTGTTGCACCGGTTCATTACACAATCATTTTAAAAAAAATTGAAATCCAGGCGATCGAGCTCTGCATCAAAACAGAAACCCTTCACTGCATCAAAAAAAAAAAGGCGATCGAGCTTCTCTTCCGCGGTGGAATTTCAGAGCTTCTCTTCCGAGGTGGAATTTCAGAGCGTCTCTTCCGCGGCGACGGCGAACCTGCATTTGAAATAGTGCGACGGCGACGGCGAACCTGCATCTAGGGCGACAGCGACGTTGTGAGAAGAAAGAAATTGGGGGAACCCTTTCGCGATTGTGAACTGTGCTCTTCCGCGGTGGGTCTCTTCGTCGATATTGAAGGGCTTGAGCATCGGCGACGGAAACGGTGAGATTGTGCGGTGGGTCTGATCGTTTTTCAACTTTCCTCTCCTGGGATTGTGTTTTGCGGTGGGTCTGATCGTTTTTCAACTTTCCTCTCCTGGGATTGTGTTTCGCGGTGGGTCTGTTCGTAGATAGTAAAGGGGGTGAGCAGTGGCGACGACAAAGAGGACTTGAATTCTGAAGGTGGCAGAGACTCTTTTACTGGAGGAAGACTCAGAAGGAATCAAAGACTCGAAAAGCCCAATCGACAACGACGAGTCAACTAGCGCCGGGTAGGAGAACTCCTGCAATAGCGAGAATTGGGTGATAAAGCATTCGATTTCCGATTTGAAACGACGACTCAGTCATTCATTCGATGTAAGTGGCTGAAATTCTTATCTCCCTTTGATAAACATTCAATTTCTAGCTTCTAGCTTCTAGAGCATTTGTTGGAGCAGCTTCGAGTACAATAATGGTGTCTTTGAATGTCTGACTTATTTCTCTGGAAATGTCAAGTTGTCTACTAAGGATCGGTTGCCAAATCATAGGATTGAAATTCCATGCTCGTTTTACCAAATTGAACTATGGAAGTAGAAGAGAGAATTTCTCAATTCTGTGTAACCATTTGGGATTGAAATTGAAGCTTCTCCACTGCTTTCTTCATGTGCATTCTCAATTGGATATGGTGATATAAGATGCAATATTCCTTTCCCTCTCTCGGTTTTATCAGTTGTGTGAAGTGGGAATTCTGATGTGCTCCATCTTTTCCAGTGTCTTCTTCTGTGATTTGGTTTGTCTATCTCTTTAGCTTTAACGTCTTGTGCAATGAGTATTGAAGCTCTCTCAAGTGTAGTTCTTGGTTGTGCTGTATTTTGTCACGGCCGAGTTTGATTGAGATGGGGGCATCTTTAGTCATTCCGTGATTGATGAAGCTTCAGAAAGTCTGCACTTTTTTGTGCAAATAGTTGTGGCCATCCACCATATAACTTCATTCCTCACACAGATCGTTGATGTGACCTAGGAGGTATTTGTGAATGGAGGATTCAGTGTCAACTAGGAAGCTATCTTGGTTTATATAATCCCATAAACTGTGCTGGGGTTGTTCATTTCGTTGTTGCCTTTGCTTTCAAACTGAAGAGAATAACTGTGCTGGGGTTGTTCTGCTTGCTTCTTTAGTTCTTTGGTCTTGATTGGGTTTTATGGATGTAAGGAATGGGTTTTTGATTGGAGAGACTTGATTTGTGTTTTATGGAGGCAAATCGAATAGGAAAGTTCATACTCAGTTTGATTATTTTCAGTTTGTAGTGTCGTTACCGTTGCTTGTTGATTACATTTTGGACTGTTAATTGAAGGGTCTTGCTTGGCTGCATGAAAGGTGCAATTGAGTGTGTTAGTCAAGAACTATTTCATGAAATCAGGGTGACTTCAGTTTTAGCCAGTTTGGATGGAAATAGAGCGAGTGTTTATGGTGGTGTCATGGGTTATGGAAAGCTTAGTGGCTATGCTCGTGGTCATGTTATTTAGCTCTCAAAAGTTGTAAGTTGTGTGTGGTTTCTGGAAATATCACGGCTGTGAGAGAGACCGTGGATGTAATTCTGGAAATATCACGGCTATGAGATAGGCCGTGAGAGAGACCGTGTATGTAAAAACACACTTCTCAGTTTCCCAGAGGTTTTCACGGGTTGCCTTCGACAGTGTCACGGCCGTGAGATGAGCCGTGTTTTTGGATATGGATGATGGGCATCTCACGGCCCCATTGTTAATTCTCACGGGCCCCTTTGTAAATTCTCACGGGCCCCTTTGTAAATTATCACGGTCAAATTATCACGGGCCCCTTTGTAAATTCTCACGGCCCCTTTGTAAATTCTCACGGGCCCCTTTGTAAATTCTCACGGCCCCTTAGTAAATTATCACGGGCCCCTTTGTAAATTCTCACGGCCCCTTTGTAAATTCTCACGGCCGTGAGAATAAGCCGTGTGATTGTCTGGAGATTGTCTGGAGATATGCAAACTTCTCTTTGCTTCTCACGGGTCATGTCACGGCCGTGAGATTTTGCATTTTGGGTGAAAATTAATGAAAGCTGGGTGTTTTCATGGTTAATTAGTGTACTCAGGTGTTGATGTAGGGGGTTTTCAGTTCTTCTGGTAGTTAGAACTTGTATTTTGTTTGTACTCTTCGGCATGCTTATAATTCGTGTTTCAAGGCATGCTTATAATTTTTCTGTTGTTTTAATTTTGCAGTTTGCTAAAATTGTTCTATAATGAAGACGAAGAGGCATCAAATTTTCAGCACGCGATGTTCTCCTAGGAAAGTATTCTCAGTAGTCTCAAATTTAGAGGCTTGTCAATCAGAGGCCATTAGGAGATGTGGCTTTGGTCGTATTCTTGATGTCAAAGCAAGAAAGCTACAACGTGAGTTGTTGGAGAAACTTGTGAAGAGCTTTAATCTGGAAGAAAGCACAATTAAGGCGTATGGGTTGGAAGTGCATATTTCGGCCAAAGATTTCGAGCGAATTATGGGTGTGCCTGAGGGAGGTACTGATATCATCTTGAATGGTGAAGAAGTGGAGGGAAGATCAGAGGAACTGGAACCATTTAGAGTGTTTTCGACACGTGAATGTGGCCGACAGGCGATTTCCACAAGCTTAATGAAGAAGGAGTTGTCGAAGATGAAAGATAGCGACGATCTATTTCTTCAAATGTTTATTTTGTACGTAATGGGGGTGCTATTAGTACCAACTAGAAGAGAGGACATTTCCTTGTCTTCGGTATACGCTGTCACCGATGTTGCAGACATTCCGAAGAAGAATTGGGCATCCTTTTGCTTCAATGAATTGGTCAAATGCATCTGCGACCATAATGCTTCTAAAAGAGAGTATATACCGGGTTGCTTGCTGTTTTTGGAGGTAAATAATTGTTAATCCCGACTTTCTACATATTTGTAATGATTAATCATCATGTTGATTATAGTATTTTTTTTTTTGTAGTTAATATTCTTGGAGCATGCAAATGGTATTTTCCAAACCGTTGATGGGAGTTTGGATTTGATGAGTTGGGGGAGCGGAGACGTGGAGTTATTGTTAACAAAAGTGGTAAGATTGATAGTATATTTGATTCTTTTGACAAGTTGGAGCATGCTAATGGTACATTTGGTTCCCTTTTTAATTAATTTATA